GGGGGGTCCCCAGCAATAGGTTGGCATTTCTGGGGCAGTGAGTTTTTTGCAATAATTTCTCCGTATTTGGTCAGACTGAAAAATCTTTGGATGCAAAGAATTGCTTTGAAGACATTCATCAAATTCAAGAAAAAAGAGCTGGGAGAAATTTCATAAATACTTTGCTTTGCGAGTGAATTCACTGGTCATTAATCATACACGCAGAATGTAGTGATGAATAATTGGAAATCCACAATTACTACCAATGAATCAACTTTTGAAAAATGAATTCATTAAGAGAATCTTGGGGGTAGGCTAATCATCTGGCTTGGCTGTAAGGGTTGTCTTCTATCCATATACGCTCTTCTCACGTATGGTAATATGCCCGTCTAACCTCGTTTCTGAGTAAAAAGTCCTTTGAAATGCTAATCAGACGAAGTTTTCGTATTTGAATTTCAAAAGAATTTTTACCCGTAAACGAGGTTAGACGGGCATATTACCATATGTGAGAAGAGCGTATTATGCTAAATAATCTTGCAAACTCAGATACTGTTGTGTGAAAAAGCTTAAGATGGACTCCGTCAGGAAATTTAGTAATTTAAAGTTTCAGTGGACAAAACCTTGCACCAGAATAATTTAAACAATATTGCATTCTTTTCTTACAATTTTCAAGGGCTGTAGATATAACTAGTTGTAGCTATCGCTAAGTGCCAACGAGCAAAGCTTTTACCTATATGCGCACGCTGTTGAATTTGTATTTGAATTTGTTGAATACAGTAATTGATGAAAAATAGATTGAACTTCATTCGATTGCATTGAAAATAGTGCAAACTTAAAGCAAGGGGCACACATACACCAACCCACGGCCAGGCCAGTACTTCACACATGCGCACAGCCACATCACGTGGGCAGTTGCAGCCACAGACAGCTGTTTCGTCCTTATTGGGGCCCACCAGTGTGGCATGTGGGAGCTGTTGGCTGGGAACCACATAGCAGTTCTACCATGACATGTTCGGGGAAGGTGAATCATGAGTTACCCATAAATTGAAGCAAGGGGCACACATACACCAACCCACAGCCTGGCCATTATGCACGCATGCGCACAGCCATATTACATGGGCAGTGGCAGCCACAGACAGCTGTTTTGCTCTTACTGGGGCTCATCAGTATGGCATAGCCATCAGTCAGTGACCAAGTAAAACCCATGTATAACAGACCTTTTCCTGCTGAGGCGAGTCCTTTAAGTGCCAGCTCCACACATCACATGTGGGAGCTGCTGGCTGGAACCACATGGCAGTTCTCCCATGACATACGCGGGGAGGGCGGATCAAGGGTTTGGTGTATGTGTGCCCCTTGCTTTAATTTGTCTTTTGAAAATAGTGAACTAAACTGTTCTACTGAATAAAGAATTTGAAATCTTGACTTTATGCAGCAAATTTTTCGAGATATTGAAGTCCATGTTTTTGTCCAAAGTTGCGCACAAGTCATTTTGTGTAAAATTTAGTGGTCTTATAAGTAAACTAAAAATCCTCGAAAAATCATATTAAAGTCCGCGAATACTCTTTATTTATTGTGCACCAATGAAACCTTCCGAATTATTTTGCTTCAAAGACACAAAAAATTCCACCCCATTATTATTTTTCTTAGCAGCATGCAATAAACAATTCTAGCAGCCAAATGCGACAGATATCGCGTAGGATGGAAATGATCCACCCGATGATTGATTGAAGACGGGATGAGCACAAGACTCACAAACACGCCCACAGCTCGTGGATTCTCTGATCGGTATCACATGTTCGCTCAAAAACAATGCATTCTCTGTCCTGCATTACATCATGGTTGCCTTACATTACTCTATGTTACATCAATTCCAGATTTTTTCTGCCCCTGGAACAATCATGCATAGCTCTATTAGGCTACCACCTCGCAGCCTCGTGTCTTCGCGAGACTGCTCAATGGCAAATTAGTTATCTTTAATAAAACCAAAGACTATTTCTCATGGGAGCCCGAGAAAATAAATGTCAAATTTCACAAGAGTTGTGAAAACACAGGTAAAATTCTGAAAATGTCATGTGTAAGATGTCATTTTGTGAAATTTGACTTTTATTTTCTCGGGCTCTCACCAGTAATTTTCTTTGGTGTTATTACAAATAACTAATTACATCTGAAAAATGTTAAAAAGAATGCGATATTGTTTAAATTATTCTGGTTCAAGGTTTTTGTCAAGTGAAAATTAAAATTACTCAATTTCCTGCTGGATTCCGTGTTAATTCAAATTTACTGCTCAAAGT